TATAGGTGTTTGAATTCAACTAAATAATCCAACACTGTCCAGCAGTCTAATAGTAGTGGGTTATCCTCAGAAGTTATTGACTTGAGCCTTTTACAGCTCATCGTATTAATAAAGCTTTACTTTATATACTTTGTTTTTATACTTTTCTGCTGGATGGTTAAGACCAAGATAAAGCAAGACCTATATACCAAGAAATGTAACTTTTGTATCTGATAAGGTCAGTCACGTACCCTCAGGATTTATCCTGTAGCCCTGTACCGCACTTTGTAGATCCTTTGTCAGTGTCAGCCATGTGGATGAGTCATGGCCATTGCTTGACCAGTTTGCTCTCTGTGAAAGCCTAAGAGAATGTTTTTTCTCTCCATGTGACTCTCCCCAGGCATACTATACATCATCAATCACATTCCTCTGTGGCTCCATAATCTTGATCAGAAAATTTGGAGCACAACTGAGTTACACGTTGTTACAGTACAGGTTCTCCTATGTCCCGAGTCTTCACTGACCTTGAAAGACTAGGGTCAGAATGTTGGCTGACCTTGCAGCCCTTCCTTTTCTCCAATTTTGATCTGCTAACTTATGTTGTTAACCCTCCAGAAGAGAAGCCTATTATTAACCTGCAATATATGCAGTTCGGTTTACCCTATCTGTCTAAATATCAAATATCTTAGGCATATCATGGAACAGGTATTTTCCATCAAGTATTGATACGTTGAACTTTAAGTCCTTACAGAATATGAAGGAAAAATAATTTTAAAAAACTAGAAATAAGCACTTACATATTTTTACAAAGAAATTTAGAAATCTAACCACATACAGAATTTTAACAGGACAGACCTGTGACATTTTTTTTTCTTACTCCTGTGTCTTTTTTTTTTTTTTTTTTTTTTTTTTATTACCCTTTAAAAAAAAACACAAACTTTTACTTGAGAGACAGTATGGCAATAATTGGTATGTCCTGGCAAGAAGTACATATTTAGGGGCTGGTGAGATGGCTCAGTGGCCTAAAGCACCTACTTAGAACAAGCTAAGCCAAGCAAAGCACAGGGACCGCGGTTCAATCCCCCAGCACCACATGCCAGCCAGCCCCGCGCCTGGGTGGGCTGAGCTGGCCACACACACACACACACACACACACACACACACATAAATATTTGTTTAAAAAAAAAATACATATTTAGAAGACCAGGATGGCAGGCACTCCAAGCATGACCCCACTATTACACATCGCCATCCTCAGTGCAGCCACCTGGCTCACAGGCACCAGCATATACAGTTAGTCAGGGTGAGAATCTCACCAGCCAACTGCTAGTCTCAAAAACCTGCTGATGTCCTCCAGGATCACTGCCGCACCCATCTTGTGCATAGAAATGCATGGCTTTGCCCCTGTCATGTTTCCCAGCTTTTCTCCTTGCCTATTCCTCATTGTCCAATCCTCAAGTTCTTGCTTTCCTTTTATTTGTGTTGTACCTTTCTATATGTAATTCCTCTTTTGAGTTCTACTAGGGAGACAATATGATATTTACAGCTGTGGTCTGGTTTATTTCACTTATATCTTCAAGTGACATCCACTTAAATATGAAGGCTTTGAGTTTATCATTCTTCATAGCTGAGTAATACTCCATCGTATAAAAATACCACGTCTTTTTCAACCATTCCACATGTGATGGGTATCTTGGTTGTTTCCAAGATCTGGCTATCACAAATTGTGTTGCTATAAACATAGGTACACATATATCACTTTGATATGATGCTTTCAGTTCCTCTGGGAAAATTCCCAGTAGTGGGATAGCAGGCTTGAATGGGATTTCCAGTCCTAGTTTTTTTTAAGGAGTCTCCACACTGATTTCCATAATGGTTGCACCAGTCTACACTCCCACCAACAGTGGAGAAGGGTTCCCTTTTCCCCACAGCCTCTCCGACATTTGTTGTTGGTTGATTTCTTTATGATAACCATTCTTTCTGGGGTGAGATGGTATCTCAGTGTTGTTTTAATTTGCATTTCACGGATGGCTAGTGATGAGGAGCATTTTTTCATATATTTATTTGCTTCTTTAATTTCGTCCTCTGAGAAGTGTGTTTCATCTCAGATTCCCATTTCTGGATTGGGTCTTTAAATTTAGGGGCTCTAATGTTCTTTAGTTCTTTATAATTTCTAGAGAGCAGACCTTTGAGTGCTTATTAGTTAAGATTTTTTCGAAGTTTGTGGATTGTCGTTTCTTTTTTTTTTTTTTAAATTTATTTATTTATCCATCTATCCATTTATGTGTGTGTGGCCAGCTCAGCCCACCAGGGGGCTGGGTGGCTGGCATGTGGTGCTGGGGGATGGAACCACGGTCCCTGTGCTTCGCCAAGCTTGTTCCAAGTAGGTGCTTTAGACCACTGAGCCATCTCACCAGCCCCTGTGGATTGTCTTTTCATTGGTAATTATATCAGTAAGTTTTCCATAAAACATACCCACTTTAGGGCACCTTCCTTGGTAGAGTTCTCTGAAAGTTAGAATTATTCATATATTGAAAACACTGAAAAACTCCTAGAATATAGTTACCTCTTTTCCAAAGTGGAATTCAGAAGTATTCGGGAAACTAGCAGACACCCAAGAGGAATGAGATGGCTGTCATTTGTAGGTCACAGAGATCCCCTGTGTGAAAAATAGCGCACGTTATAAAGAAATCTGGTGAAGTCCTCCCAAACTACGAATTCTTCCTGCTAGGAAGTCACCAACTTTTACTTGTGTTGGGCTGAGGAGAAATACAGCAAGTTATAGTGTGTAAAAAGATCATCATTTTTGAAGGACAGAATTCTAAGAAAAATGATGGGACTTTTCACCTATAGGGTAGAAAGAATGCAGGATCCCTGCAATACTTAATATGATTCACATTTGAAGATAAATTGTTCTTTATGAAAAGAGATGCCAATTCCTACAGACTGTTGTAAATGAGAGAGATTTGTTTGGCCAACCTGTAGTCTGCTACCTCAGTTTAGACTGGGAACTTTCTTTCATGTGAATATTGGGAGCTCTATTAACACGGAGGTGGCATTCTCTTTGCCAGTCTGCAGGTATTCTGCTAGAGCCATGCAGTGACCGGGGGGATGGTGAAGACGGCTATCCAGAGAGGTAAGCATTGCTCTTGTTGCTAACAGGTCATTCTGAGGATTGGAGCTTTTCACAGATTTGGAGTGAAATTCTTAGATGAATCCATCCATTATAATATACAGTTTAGGTAATCTTAAAAGAATTACACAGGGCTGGGGATGTAGCTCAGCAGCATAAACCCCTGCCGGGGAAGCACAAGGTCCAAGAGTGCAAATGAGTTACACAGTTTTTACTTTAATGAGAGACATTAAGTTTATTGAGGCCACAAATACTCAGTTCACAGCTTCATACAGTCATTAGTTTTAATTTGGAAAACATTCAGCGGGAAGAGCATATAGCTTTCCTGGAGACACATGAAACGTTTTAGTTGATTTATAGAACAAATTGGAATTTATTGATATTTTGTACATCGCTATCAGTGTCTCAAAACTGTTGCTAATTAACCAAAAATTACAAGCCAGAAATGATTTGTCTGTGACTAATCCCAGGGTTTAGGGAGGCTGAAACAGGAAGAGTGTAATTGTAGCTCAGCCTGGGCTACTTAGACCCTGTCTCAAAATAAAAACTAAAAGGGATGGGGAATGTAGCTTAGTGCAAAAGTCCTATGTTCAATTCCTCTTTGAAGTAATCTTTTTTTTTTTTTTTTAATTTTTGATGGAACTGGGGGTTGAACTCAGGCCCTTGTGCTTTTCAGGCCAGTGCTTATTCTACTGAGCTGTCTCCCTGGCCCTGAAATAAACTTTATGTATTCTAGTACAATATATATATTTTTAAATTTCATGTATTTGGTACAGGGTCTCACTACACAACATGGACTCATAGTAATCCTTCTGTTTCAGCCTCCCCAGTGCTGGGATTACAGGCGTGCCCCTCCAAGCCCAATCTTGGTGGCTGGTTTGGCTTGCCAGGGTCAGCACAGCATGCAGTACTGGGGATCAAACTCAGGTCCTTACAGTTGCCACGGCAGGTGCTTAAGCTGCTGAGCTATCTCTGCAGCCCCTCCAGTACAATTTTAATATAGTTGGTACTTATTTCCCTGCATGGCAGCTGTGTTACAGGGAGAGAGATGTCTGAGACAATGAGATTTTAACCATATATATAGTCTCAATAGGTAGATTTTTTTTTTTTTTTTTTTTGGGTCCTTTTGAGGCAGGGTTTCACTGTGCAGTTCAAGCTGGTCTTGAACTTGTTATGTAGTCCAAGCTGGCCTCAAATTAAGCCTCCCAAGTGCTGGGATATCAAGCATGTGCCACCAAGCCCAGCCTAGATAGAATCTTTTTGAGTGCAAGCTTCCTAGGGTAAGTCACTGGGTAGGATTTGGGTCTTGCTAGTTTTTGCATTATTCTTTCAGGGGCTTTCAAGACGTTTATTATGGCCGGGTATGGTGTTGCATGCCTGTAATACCAGCTTTTGGGAGGCTAAGGTAGAAGGATTGCTGCAAGTTGGAGTCCAGCCTGTACTATATAGCAAGATTCTATCTCAAAAAAGAAAAAAAGTATTATAGATTTATAGGAAAGATGAAGTGATACCCTGAAAATACGTTAATAATTGAAAACTCAGGTATAAATATTGACATATCCATAATTACTAAGTTATTGATAGGCTGCTGACTAGGATAAACTGTTAATGCCATTGTCTCTCTTATTAATGAGTAGGAAACCTGTTGTCCAAGGGTAAGTAAATTCTTTGGAGCCATGTCTCTGGAGTGTCCCATACTCTGAAGGTCCACAGATTTCCTGCTCTCAGCAGATCCTTGTGCTTCCTTTCAGGAGGCAGGAGTGATCCTCTTCCAGCCCAGGGAATTTTGGAGATATGGGCTGAAGATTTAAGATAAACAGCATTAACAGGCATCCCCAGAATGATGACATCTGGATTTGATAGAACAATAAGGATCCGTTTAGTGAGGAGTCAATGTTTTTGGAAAAAGTTCTTTCCTCTTCAACTTGTGTATAGGTTAGCAAACTTATTTTTAGATCCAAGAAGTACCTTAATTAGCAGATTGCATTTTGCATGTTTAACACTCATGTTTCTCTAATTTAGGTGATTTAAGTTTTTTAATCTGCTAGGGTAGCGTCTATTCATTCTACCATTTATTCCCACCTCAAGCAAATGAAAGGCCTCGTGTTTGACAGGGAACTGTTTAGCAAGACCACAGTGATTATGTATATAAGATGACTTCCTATATGTAAATCAAGCCCTCTTTTGTTTTGCACTTTTACTATGGCTAGGTAGAAGAGGTACTTTGGTTTACTGTAAATTGCCACAAATTTCTTTGGGAAAAAGAACTTTTCCACATAGACATATTTATAACCTATTATGTAATAGCTGCGTTGCCTGGTCAAATATGTAGAGATCATTTGTGGAGGTTTACTATAACACTTGTTCCTAATAGGAGCTTGCATTTCTGGGGGAATACCTTTTTTAATGTTACTTTTAAGTTTACTAGCACTTTTAAGATTTCTTAGGCACATATATGGCACTAAATATTTTTGCATACAGTGTCCAAGGAATATGTCCAAAGTGTACATTTTCTAGTCTCTTATTTGTTAAGTGTTAACTGAAGTGACCTTTGATCACAGCATGACCTTGTGATGAAACATTTAAAATAAAAGACCTAAATATACTTTTTAAAAAATCTTTAAAAGTCTCAGTGGGAAAATAGTGATATGGTTAAAACTAAACATTTACTTTACAAAATCTTTTCCATTAAACATTCATACTTTTCGGTTATTGTAGATTTTAATTTTCTTTTTATATAAGTTTGTTTTGGAGGTGGTTTGTGTTGGGAGTGGGGAGCATTGCTTAATTTTTCTAAATCTGAAGTGATTCTGTGGATCTTTGCAGTATTGTGATTTTCAGATATAGGGCTCCAAAGAATGGGCATAAGCCCAGTTGTTTTCTCCTTCCACATTTTAAATGCTGCCTATATTGGGGAAGAGAGGGATTTAGGATAAAAATATGTAATAATAGTAGCTTTCTTTTATTTTTAACACATTAATAACTTTGCTTGTATTTTTAGGAAAGAATATGTGGTAATTGACAGTGATGAATTGTCACATTTTGTTCTGGTAAGAACTATTTCCATTTTATAGTTAGTAAAATTTTCCCAGGTCAGGCTGGGGAGATAGCTTGGTGGTCTAAGTGCCTGCCTGGCAAGTGGAAATACTTGGGTTTGATCCCCGGTACCACATGCCATGCAGGCCCTAAAGAACCCCTGGCACACTATGCAGGCCACTGAAACTGGGCATGGTGGCACACATCTGTAATCCCTGCACTGGGGACCCTGAGACAGGAGAATCACTATGAGTCCAAGTTGCGTAATGAGAACCTGTACCAAATAAATAAATTAAAAAGATTTTTAAAAATTGCCTAGGTTTATATATTAGTATTATATTTGGACTTTTTCTTGAATTGGTTATGTTTAAAGGTGCTATAAATATAAATACTCTATAATCAAATGTTTTATTGTTAAGAAACAATGTAACTAGTTACTTTTGATTATAGGATATTGGTTATGAAAATAAATACTTTCATGAATTTGAGATCCAATTTTGTATCCCAGTAAGATATAGTATAGAACTACAGGTTTAACTGGGTGTAGTGACAAACACCTGTAATTGCAGCACGTGGGAGGCTGAGGCAGGAGAATCGTTGCAAGTTTGAGCCTAGCTTGGCCTGCATAGTGAGACCTTGTCTCTAGAAAATAAAAACAAAAACCCTGCAGTTTTATATTTGAAAATAATTTGGATGATGGGAGCGGGATATTTGATACAGTAAACTAATGAAGATTATATCAGGGTCAGGTGTGGTGGAGACTGAGATAGAAGGATTGCAAATTTCAGACCAATATGGGCAATTCAGCATGACTGTGTTTCAAAAAAGAACAATTAAAAATAGCTGGGCAAAGGAAACAACAGAGTAAAGAGACAGCCTACATTATGATAGAAAATTTGCCAGCTACACCTGAGATACCTGAGATGGAGGGTTGATACTTAGAATATATAAGGAACTAAAAAGAAAAAAAGAAAAAAAAATATTCCTACCCCCAACACACCAAAATAAAGGCCCAGTTTAAAAAAAAAAAAAAGGGCAAGCGCCGACCAGATAGCTCAGCGGATTAAAGTGCCTGCTTAGGTTCGATCCCCAGCATGCTGTGCCCTAGGGGGACACTCACACTGCAATTCAGACTGGGCATAGTGGCATGCATCTGTAATCCCAGCACTTGGGAGGCTGAAAATAGGAAAATCACTATGAGTCTGATCTGTGTAGTGAGACCATGTAGATGCTGTACTCAATACACTGGGAACAAAAAAGAAAAAAAAGCAACCAAAATGAATAAACACTTCTCAGAAATAGTACAAATGGCCAATATGATACATACATGAGAAAATGTTCAGCATCTCTGGCCACCAGAGAAATGCAAATTGAAACAATACTGAAATTCCATCTTAATTGCAAAGAGAATGGCAGTCCTCACAAAGTCAAATAATGACAAATACTGATGAGACAGCAGGGAAAAAGGAGCCTTTCTACTTTGTTGTTGGGTATATAAACTAGTAAGCTACTATGGAAATATGGAAATCAGTATGGTGATTGTTCAAGAAACTAAAACTAGAAAGCCCACTTGAGTGAGCTATTTCCTCAGCAGATTAAATTTTTTTTTTTTTTTTTTTTTTTTTTTTGCGGAACCGGGGATTGAACTCAGGCCCTTGCGCTTGGCAGGGAAGTGCTTATTCCACTGAGCCATCTCCCCAGCCCCTGCAGATTAAAATTTGATTTAATTTTAGGATTTAATTCTAGGATTTGGGAGGTGTCTTTACCTCCCAAAAGGTAAAGACTCCATGTTACAGTGGTACATGCATATCCATGTTTATAGCAGCACAACTCATAATACCTATATCTTGGAAGCAGCCTATCTTTGCTTCGACAGATGATGGATAAAAAAATGTGGTATAGATACACAGTGGAGTTGTGCTGTGCCATCAGAAGGAATTAGAGTCATTTGTAGAAAATGGATGCACCTTGAGACCATAATGTTGAAATAAATCAGACACATAAACTTAAATATCATATATTTTTTCTTACATGAGAAACCCAAAATACAAATAAGGAGCAACATAAAAGATAACTAATAAGAAACAGGGAGAGGGCCGGGGAGATGGCTCAGTAGGATAAGTGCTTGACTGGCAAACGCAACGATCTGAGTTCAATCCCCGGTTCCACAAAAAAAAAAAAAAAAAAGAAAGAAAGAAACAGGGAGATAAATCTTTTGTAAATGAGAAGGGGACCAAGAGATGGCAGGCAGTGGGAAGGAAACAAAGTGATGGGGAAAAGGACATAAAAAGAATTAAGATGTGTTGTGTACATGTACAAACTAACCTCAGTGCATACATTCATTATGTACTGCAAACACACATTAATTTAAAAAAAGGCTGGGGATGTAGGTCAGGGTTTATATGCTTGCTTATCAGGTATAAGACCTGGAGTTCAATCTTCAGTACTATCTCCCTACCTCCAAATCAGAGCCCCCACCCCCAACAAAGATAAGTACAAGTTGGCTTTAACCTGGGTCTAAAAAGCTTCATGGTGGTGAAATATGTGTTTTGTTTTAAAATACAGGAATCTAGTAGCAAGATATGTGACTTGAATGCCAACACTGAATCAGAAGTCCCAGGAGGTCAAAGTGTTGGTGTTCAAGGAGAAGCAGCATGTATCCAAATTCCACATTTAGAACTGAAGAATGCTTCTGATGGTGATAAATGGGAAGGTAATTTTGCCACACATAACATTTTTCCTGATGCTGTTATTTGTAACTGAAGTTACCCAAAGAAGTTAGAAGACTCCTGTCCTTTCTGGACAACCATATTTGTCTTAATCTTCTGTTCTTCCTTTCATATGAGTGAGTGAGTGAGTGTTTTTACTCAAGTACACTAACAAGCTTATGGGGCAGTTATCCCATATGAACTAGAACTTGCCTGTCTGATCCATTAGTTTTTGAAATAGATGTTAGAATTAAACACTTTGGCTAGGCTTTTATTAGCAATTAAGCTAAATGCTGTCTCCCAGTCTTTGAAAATCCAGTGTGTTAGGTTTTGAGGATCTTAGATAGGTGACCCTTTCTTACAAATATCAGGAAATTATTTTTTTAAAGTGATCTTCCAGGGCATCTGTAAAACAGATGCTGCATCATATTCTTGTCTCTGGATTAGGCCAAAGTGTGATGGAGTGACCTTAACAATTTTTTTTTTTTTTTTTTTTTTTTTTTTTTTTTTTTTTTTTTTTGCGGTACCAGGGATTGAACTCAGGATCTTGCACTTGCTAGGCAAGTGCTTATTCTGCTGAGCTATCTCCCTGGCCCAACAATTTTTATAGAAAAAAAAAAACAAAAAAAACAAAAAAGAAATTAACAACCAAACATTTCTCAAAACTCAGCAAATGTACACTTAAGCTATTTGCATTTTATTATACATAACTTTTTTTTTTTAATATTAAGAGAAACTGAAAAGCTAAACAGAGATGAGTGACTTGGGTGGTGAAGTGTTTATGAGAAAATAAAACATCTGCAGTTCACTTTGAAATCAGGGGGGAAAAGGTGGTTAATGAGGGATTTTATAAAGCAGTGCTGATAAAATGTTACAGAATTTAGGTGATTAGTAATTTGGGTGCTCAGTGTAAAATTCGTTAAAATTTGCTGTATTTTTGTAAAGTTTGAAGTAGAATATTGAAGGAGAAAATAAATGAATAACAAATATGGGGCCAAGAGTTTCTGGATCATACATCTTTCTCTAAAAAATGAGACAATTCTGGAATCAAGCCGCGTTTCTCTTCACTTGGATGTAGATTCCTGGCTTATGGCATTAGCAGGAATTGCAGTGCTAATGTAATAGACCTCCTTTACAAGGCTACTGCATCTGTGGGCAAAGAGTGAAAATATATGAATATGATTGTGCTATGATCCAGGCATTTAAGAAAATCTCCAAATCATGTTTGTAGCAATCTTTAATACTATCCTCCCACATTTCTTGGTGTTGGCCTGTCCACTGGCATATTATGTCTAAAGTCAGACTCCAGGGGCCAGGGAGATGGCTCAATGGAATAAGCGCTTCCCTGGCAAGCACAAGGGCCTGAGTTCAATCCCTGGTTCCGCAAAAAAATAAAATAAAATAAAATAAGATAAAATCAGACTCCATTAGGAAGTTGTCTTTCTTCTCTTTCATTCTCCTTCATTCTTCTTTTTTCCCTTCTCATTCTCTTCCTTTTGTCCTTTCCTTTCTCTCCCCCTTACCTTTCTCCCTTTTTCTTTCTTCTTCCTTTTTCCCTGTATTCCCCTCCCTTTTCATCTTTTTTTTTTTTTTTGTCTTTTGTTCTTTCTCCTTCCCTTCTGCTTTTCTTCCATTTCTCTTTTCTTTCTTTTTTTTTTTTTTTTAAATCTCTTCACCCTGAGAATCCTTAGTTTGGCCTTAGACTTGCAGTCCTGCCTTGGCTAGCTGCCAAGCCTAGCTAGAAAGTTATATGTTATTTGTTTTGATCTGGGTTATTCAAGACTTCGGGAATTTATGAAAAAGCTACTTGGGGCTAGAGAATCAGTGAGCACCGAATGATGTTTGAAGTGTAATCAGTGAAAAGGAGCAAGGGTTAACAGAACATCCCTTAGAACCCTAGTAGGGAAGACATCTCGAAGATGAAGTTGTGACCCTGGTAGTGTACTTCTGCTTGTTCCTCTTAGAAGACACAGGTAAACAGTAAGTTATGATCTCTGGCCTAAAGGTCTGATAGGTTTTAAGGACAGCAGAGCAATTGTTTCCATTGTCTGAGGGAATTGGGCAGCATCTGTCTTAGCTTCAGCTTTCTGGAGGCTCCCCCAAAGCAAGCACTGGGCTTTTTTGTTCTCCCATGGACAGTAACCCCTCTACCTTGTAGTAGGGAAAGGAGCTACCAGTGTACTACGGAGCTGTCCTATAGCCACCTCACTCAGTACTCATGAGAACTCCTCCTGCTGACTTTTCCAGGGCAGGGATGGGACCTAGTGACACTCAGAAAGGCAACAGTAGTAGGTAGCTAGTGACTTTCTCATCTGTGGACCATATGTGTGTAGGAGTCAGTAGACCATTTTGTCCCCATTGCTTTAAGCTTTGGATATTTTGGAATTGAGATTTTTTGTTTTTTTAAGAGATTTTTATTTATTTTTTAAAATATTTTGATGGAACTGGGGCTTGAAGCCAAGACCTTCACCCTGAGCTGTATCCCCAGGCCTTTTAAAATTTTTTCACTTTGAGAGAGGGTCTCATTTAGTTGCTAAGTTTATAGGCTGGCCTTGAATTCTTAATCGTCCTGTATCAGCCTCCCAGTGGGCCAGGATTACAGGTGTGCACCACCATAGTAGGCTGAGAAACAGGTTTTGTTTGATATGACTTCTAATAGTAGGAATGACTCTGAATCAAGGAGCACCTCACTATTTGTCTGGTATATGTTGGTTTTTACTTTCTTCAGAGGGTGGTCAGCAGAACTCAGCAAGCTGTAGTACATGACTACAACCAGTGTAAATTCGTAGCAGCTATTTAAAGTGTCTTGGTAGTGGAAGTAGAAACCATCTTTCCCTCAGATTCTCTACTGCAAACTATGGAATAAAATATAGTAATAGTATCTTTTACTAATAGTATATAGTATAGAATCAAAGGAGATTTTTTTTCTGTCAAATCAGTTATACAGAAAAACTTCAAGTAGAATGTGGTTAAGAGTTTCCATTTCTTTAGTCTTATGTTTGAGTTTTAATAAAACAGCATTACTTTCTTTTTTCTTGCCTTGCTTGCTGAAATGGAAATGTATCTTTGTTAAAATTTGGTTTAATTTCCTTAAATAAAGTTTTAGAGTAGAATGCCTAACTGGTTTTAGGGAAATGTTTTTGGTATCTTTGGCTTTGTGTTATGTGTATGGTTTGTTCTGACTGTGCTGTGTTCACTTTAGTATTTTTTGCCATTTTTTTCCATTTTATTAGCGTCATGCCCTATCACTTTTCCCCTCATTGATTTCAAAACAATGCATCTGCAGAGAGATGGGGAGGGTAAGTATGGTTCACCATAGTTTAGTTTTCTTACTTTTTATGGTTCACTTTGTATATTAGCCCTTCTCCTGCTGTCCCCAAATTGTAGGAAAACTTTTGGATTGAAAATGATACCCAGAAAAAAAAAGTTTTTGTTATTTCCTTCTTTTCTTAAAACAGGCGGTTTATTGTAAATGTTCATTACCAGTTATTTATTTGCTGGGACACAGGTACAAGGGTTGCTTTGAAACCACTTTATCGCTTTATGGGTTTACTGTGGGATTGCACGCTTTGTACCTAATTTTTAGTTATCCCATTAACCTGGGCTTCAAAAACAAACTGAATTTTGTCTTTAACAACCTGGAAAAAGGTTTAAATGCTTTAAAATACTAATGCATAGAGTTAAATTACTAAAGCAGCAGACTTCACTATTGTGTGAAAAAGAAAACATCATTTTGGAATGTTGACACTGTCAAGCCATGTTTTCATTTTTGCTATTGTTAATAGTGTCAGAGTTTTAAATTTTAGTTATAAAGCTAATGAGTAGATGGGGAAGTTTTTTGATTTTCCTTCTTTGTTTCTTCCCCTCCTTCTCCTACTCCAGTTATACTTAATCTCATATTTGGAGTATATTTGTGGATTGTGTGTATGACCAGTACATGTTCTACATGTGATCAGAACTTACTTGCGCAACAGCATCAGTAACTTCAGCATGGTTTCATTTGAAAGCATGCAGGCTAACTCCAATGAATAAATGTGCTTAGGACTAGTGCTGTTAAGGTTTGTGTCAGTTATACTGCTGTATTATTAAAATATATATTATACGTAAGACTCTCAAAACTCAAGATAACCCCCAGTTTAATGTGAGAGGCTAAGTCCTAACAGTGATTTAGATCCTTCTTTGGAAATGTTGGTATTCTTTTGGAGTCAGAGCTCCAGAAGAATTTTTGTTTTGTGTAGCATGGGTGAGAGTTTCCACATTTAACTATAGCTGCTTGGTAGTGAGGGACAGTTTATTCACCTAGAAGCATTTGACTTCATAAAGTTAAATTACTAAGGAGTGTTGAGTGTTCACTTTTTTTTTTTTTTTTTAAATAAACACTTTCTTCTACTTGAGAGAAGTAGTTTTCCTTTAGAGAACCATAACACAAATAGGGAGGTCTCTCCCTCATGTATTAAAAAAAGAAAGAAAAATGTTTTTCTGTGTAACAGCTTTAGAATATTAAGTTAGAATTTGATTAGCATTTTTAGAATTAAATTTTAAAGAGCTTGACAATGTCTTTTTTTTGTTTTGCCAGTGGGTTCAGAAATGTGAGGTTATAGCTTCTTATTTGAAAATAGAACTCTGGCTACAAAAAGAAGCTTGGATAGTTGTAAATTATAGTAAACGTTATGATGATTCTAAAGATTCTAGTATCTTTTTTTGCTTTCAAAAAATACGTGACAGATATATGAACCACTACATAATGATAGGATTTAAAGAACACATAGCTGATATTTTGTGACCTTTTTTCCATGTAGGATTGAGACCCATGGTCCTATTCTGTGTGTTTGTTTACAGAGCCATTTCCTGCATTTAAGTCTTGGCAGGAAGACTCAGAGTCTGGAGAAGCTCAGCTGTCTCCACAAGCTGGAAGAATGAACCATCACCCTCTGGAAGGGGACTGTCCTCCAGTATTATCACATCGCAGTTTAGATTTTGGACAAAGCCAGCGTTTCCTACATGATCCAGAAACACTGAACTCCTCGTCTAAAGCACTTTCTTATGCTAGGTATATGATTTTTATGACCTTATCAAGAGGAAACTCCTGTTGTACCCAGATCTTAAAGTTGGTTCTGACTTTTCTATGCAGGTTAAACATGTAAAAGAGCTCTGATATGCTAGGTGTGTTTCTTTTCTGTCCTTGTCCAAACAAATATTGAATATTCCAAACTCATTACTACTATTGTTAATTTTGTAGTCTCTAGCAGCTTAATTTTTTTATTTCACTTTCAAGGTTCTTTAACTGTTGATAGTGTTGTATGGGGCAGTGAGGGATTTTTTTTTTTCTTTTTTCCTTTTATGAGACAGGGTCTTGCTATGTAATTTAGGCTGGCTTTGAACTCATTATACAGACTGGCCTGGCCTTCAACTCTTGATGATCCTCCTGCCTCAGGCTCCTGAATACTGGATTACAGTTGTGGATCAGCACATCTGGCCCGAGAGATGTGTTACCGATATTTTAAAATTTAATATATATTATTGGCCTGTTATTTTAATTCAGGATTCGAAGATCATCCTTTAGTACAAAAGATGAAAAAAGAGAAGACAGAACACCTTATCAGTTGGTCAAGAAACTTCAGAAAAGAATCAGACAATTTGAGGAGCAGTTTGAAAAGGAAAAAAATAGCAAGGTAAATTTGTAACATTGCCCAAATTAAGCTAGGTTTAATATTAGAACTGGGAGGGAAATCTTCAGAGAGCATGAGCATTAGTCCAGCTCTTTCTTGAGGACAATAACAAGTCTGAGATGCCCAGAAAAAGAGCGATCATATAGATCAGAGCAAGTCGATCCTTACTTAGTCTCTTCATTTCTAGACCAGTATTTTTGCCTTTGCCCCATTAACAAGATAGCTGTTAAAATTTTTGTTTTTTATTCTTATGTATTTAGTGCAGGGTCTACAGGGTCTCATTACACAGATCGGACTTGTAGTGATCCTTCCTGTTTTTCAGTCTTCCAAGCACTGGAATTACAGGTGTGTGCCACCATGCCCAGTCTCAATCACCATTTCAGCATGCCCTGGGGGCGGGGCCGGCATGGCAGGCTGGGGATCAAACCGCTGGCCCTGTGCGTCTGCCTAAGCAGGTGCTTTAATCCACTGGGTTATCTGGCCAACCCATGTTAAAGATTTTTAAAGCAAGTTCTTTACACTGACAAATCCTATTACTGCTGTTTTTCTGCTGTGCCAAGGATCACAAGTACCAAAGAGAAGAGAGAAAAAAGGGGCTGGGGAGTTAGCTCAGTAGAATAAGTGCTTGCCTGGCAAGCTCAAAGGCCTGAGTTCAATCCCCAGTTCCACAAAAAAAAAAAAAAAAAAAAAAAAGAGAGAGAGAGAGAAGAAGCAAGGGAAAGAGTATGAGAGAAAAAGAATATATACATTTAAATAATTAGTACAGGTGAAGTGCAGAGGGTCCTGTACTAGAAGATGAAAGACGCATGTTTAGATTCATTAGTTTTCTGACTTAGCTCTGGGAGAGCTTTTAGTTAAAATTTTGCCTATGCAAAATGAAGCTTGAATGAAACCTGTGCTTTGAGAATCATAAAGTACTATCTAGGTATAACATAACCATTGTTTACCTCAAAAATATCATTGATTTTGCTTCATAATTTTTCAGCCCTCCTACAGTGATATTGCAGCCAACCCAAAGGTGTTAAAATGGATGACAGAGCTTACCAAACTGCGGAAGCAAATCAAAGGTATAAAAAGTGCCATTTTGTAATGTATTTTTTAATAATGTTTTTATGTAATCTCTGAGAATTATAGTTATGATTTTGATAATTTAAAAAATTACTAACAATACAAGTTTTATTGACTCACAATTGCTGCTAGTTTTATGGTTTTTTTGCTGGTGGTTTTATTTATTTTTTATTGAGAAATAAATATGAATGAGACAGTTTCACAGCTGATTAATAGGACAGTTTTGATAGTCAATACACTGTACATTGTTATCTTCTTAGTGGTTATCCATAGTACAAGAAGCAGACAGGATATTCTGTCCAAACACTGTTAGTACACCTCTTTCTTCTCTTTGAGTTAAGCGAAAGTTTGCTGGTGGTTTTAAATCTTAGAAATTTTGGGCAAGGGCCGGCCAAATGCCTCAGTGGATTAAAGCACCTGCAAGCAGGCATAGGGGCCAGGGGTTCAATCCCCAGGCCTGCCGTACTGGCCCTACCCCTGGGGTGCGCTGAGATGGCATTTGAGACAGGGCATGGTGGTGCACACCTATAATCCCAGCTCTTGGGAGGCTGTAAACAGGAGAATCACTACTGAGTCTGATCTAGTAGAGAGACCCTAAACACCCTGTAGACCCTTCCCTAAAATATAAAAGAAAAGAAATTTTGGGCAAAAATAAAGTTTCCTTTTGGCCAGTCATGGTAGCACATGCCTGTAATCTCAGCACTCATGAGGTTGAGGCATTTGAAGAACAGCTTGAACTCAGTGAGACTGTCTCAAAAAGCAGATAGTTTCCTTTTGCTCTTTTACTAGTTAAAGACTGCATAGTATATTAAAAAAATGGGAGATTTATCATAATATGTTAACTTTTACAAATGCTTTTCTTTTGTTATTTTTGTTTATATGTCTTTTTATGTTTTTATACTTAGTACAGTGTCTACAGGGTCTTACTATTAGATTAGACTTGTAGTGATTCTCCTGTTTACAGCCTCCCAAATGCTGGGATTACTGGCGCACGACACCACGCCAAGTCTCAATTGCCATCTCAGCATGTCCTGGGGGTGGGTCCAGCACAGGCCCAGGGGTCCCCTGTCCCCTGCATCTGCCTAAGCAGGCGCTTTAATTTGCTGAGCTATTTGGCCAACCCTGTATATATTTGTCTATCTTTTTTCTATGTCTATCTTTTTGAGACAGAGTTTTGCTATGTAGTTCAGCCTGGCCTTGAACTCCCTGCAATCCTCCTGCCTCAGCCTCCTGAGTGCTGGGATTACAGACATAGGCCACTATGCCTGGAGGTTTTTATTTATGTTTTTTGAAAGGTGCCTGGGTCACCTATATTTATAGGTAAACTGATACTGTATAGGTTGTCTGAAATATACTCCAGGTGCTAAGTTAATTTTGGTTTGGGGTAGGTATTTCATGAACATTTTTGATGGGTATTTATCTGATGCTTGTGTAATGTAGGCAGATCTGAGAGCACAGCACAGTGGTAGAGTACCCAGCTAGTGTATATGATGAAGCCATGTGCCTGGACAGGGTAGGGGTGTGGGGAAGAATAGTCATGGTGAATTGTTGACATTACAAAGACTGAATTTTAACTCATAAACTAGGTATTGAACTTCTGGATGTCAGCCCAGTGCCCAGTGTGGTAGTTTTAAAAGTATATTTTGAGGGTATATAGTGAATTTTTTGTTGTTGTTAATTATTAACTTTAATAGTTGTGTGCCAAGCATACACTTGTAGTCTGGCACCTCTTGGTTTATTTATTTGAATTTATTAAATAGAACTTTTAGTATCTCTTCAGTATTGGGCCAGGAAGATGGCTCAGTAGGATAAGTGCTTGACTGGCAAACGCAAGGATATGAGTTCAATTCCCGGTTCCGCCAAAAAAAAAAAAAAGAATCTCTTCAGTATCAAGTACTCCTATTATTGAATTTGTATTTTTTTATTAAGAGAATATCTATTAACTCTTAGATTATTTTCCCCTGTAGTTCAGTTAAGGATTTCCCTGTTTAAATGTATTCTAGGCATTAGTTATAATTGATCAACACTAACCTTCTGATTTCCCAATTTTCTTCCACGCTTCCTGTCCTATAGTCCATTTGAGAATTTTCTTCTCTCTTCCCCCTCACCTTTTTATTCTGTGTGTGTGTGAGCGAGCATGTGTGTGTTTAATATTTATTATTTATTAAGCTACCCCTGCCAGGAAAAAGGAAACAAAACGAATTCAAGAAGTCCCAGTGACTGTACCTTAAAACACTTTGACTTTTGTAAGTGGGTATTTTTCAACAATATCTTGGGGCTGGTGAGATGGCTCAGTGGTCTAAAGCACCTACTTAGAACAAGCTTAGCAAAGCATCAGGGACCCCGGTTCGATCCCCCAGCACCACATGCCAGCCAGCCCCGCCCCCTGGTGGGCTGAGCTGGCCACACACACCTCTCTCTCTCTCTCTCTCTCTCTCTCTCTCTCTCTCTCTCTCTCTCTCTCTCAAATAAATAAAAAAAAAAAAAAAAAAAAAAAAACAATATCTTGCACCTCCTTTGCAATTCCATCTGTCCAACCTATGGTCTTTCTCAGGTTTCTTAGTTTCATTCATGATGCTTTCCTACTGTTTATTCAACTGAGACAGATTCAAGTTCTTATACATCTGCTTGATGCCTAAGCAGGTATCTGGAGATCAGCTCTCAGATTTCTGCTTCCTGGGATACGTCTGGACAACCTGTAGCAATCAAAATCTTCCTGGCTTAAATTCAGAGACTGGATGTCTTAATTTCTCAGTGAAAACCACAGCACAGCACAGATTAGTGAGGTAGTAGCTATCTTTCTTCGTCATTAGCCAGCTTGTCTGAATGGTTGCAGAAGCAAGTGATGTACTGGATGTTGAACTGCAGGTGAGGTGAGTTGCCCTCCAGCACAGTGTAGATGAGCATGGGCAAGAAGTCAAGTCATTGGATGCCGGCTCATCCTTGGTGATCTTGATGGCGTTAAAGATATGTGCTTGATGTACCTGGTGATGCAGGCCAACTTGTCTCAGGACACACTTTGAGTCCATCTCGATGATACCTGTGATTCCATTTACCACCATATAAGAAACTTCTGGAATTTCTTCATTAACAGGGACACAAAACATCTGAAGTGTGATGCAGTGCAGAGCCTTGATTCTCTTTTGAATGGCAAGATCTTATCATCATCAATAGTTTCTGGGCAGAATCTGTACTTATAGAGATGAGTCATGATACACATTTCAATCTGTTTCATTATCTACTCTACTTTTTAAGGCACTTTCCTGCAAGTCTGCATCCTTGCGGCTACACTCTGGTAAAAATCCTGAGTACACTCTGACTGTTCCTCATTGCTTTGCTCTCCTTTGTAATGCATTGCTTCCAAAAACATCTTGGTGTGTTTATACATTTCTTGGCTTGTCTTGTGGAAGGTCTTGAGAAATTTTATGAACTCCTTAGACACTATCCGTTTCAATGCTGGTTTTCCAGTTAATGGAAAGACTAGGAGCTTTTGCTTCCTGAATTTCCTTCTTGGATCCAACCCTGGAGGAAGCACTGAAGAATTTCTTCACAGTGATAACCTTTCATGTCTTCTCATTGGTTTTCTTCAAACTTGGAAACTGTGAGTGACTGGGCCCCTTGGCTATTATTCTGACTGCTGGCAAAGGCCTCTTCCTTCTGCTGAAGCCACTCTGCCAGCTCCCCAATCTTCCTGAATCTGCTTTTGCCTGGCTCTGTGGTACTTTTCCTTCTAGCACTTGGAGCAGAAGCCCTGCCAGGCCGGGTTGCCATAGTAACCACATCCTGTCTTTTATTTTTCTTCTCTTCCCCCCGGGGCATTGGGGATCAAACTCAGGACCTTGCACTTGCCAGGCAGGTGCTTATGCGGCTGAGCTATCTCCCCAGCACCATATCCTTTCTTGCACAGGAGCTCCGACTGATCAACATGAATTCCTTGGTGTTCAGATTTAAGGCTCATATTCATCCTGTTCTCCAGTGGCTCCTCTGGCGTCTGGACAGCAGCTTTCCCAATCTTTCGTGTGTGTTTTAAGACAAGGTCTCTCTATATAGTCTAGGTTAGCTTGAACTCACTATGTGGCCAGATTGGCGTCAGACTTACCCAATCTTCCTGCCTCAGCTTCCCAAGTGCAGGGATCACCACAGAATCATGTTATTCATCTTATTAAAAGTCTTTTCAGTGAGCTTCCCCTTCGTTTCCAAACTCTTTCTTTTTTATGATAGAAAAGTTTTTTTAAGGATAATGAAAAAACAGGCTCTGCAGAGCAAGTTTGAGTAAAGTAAAAGTAGGAAAGAAGCACCTCCTACAGTATGAGGGTGACCACTATGGAAGAGGGAATACAGTAGTGCCAGTTCCCAAACTGTTTTGGGGGGCCAGCCACATAGCTCAGTGGAGCGCCTGTTTAGGCATTGAGACTGGGGGAAAAAAATTTTTTTTTCAAAGTTTTATTGATAAACAGATAGCAATGAGACAGTTTCAAATCAAATCAGAAGTACAGTTTCAACAAATAATACACTGCATA